CGAATGTCAGAGCGTGTACTTTGCCAATAATCAGCACTTAGCCAGCACAACTCTCCATGACCCAGCGACAGACGGAGGATGGCCGGGGAGCAATGTCCCCGTTGTGCGACAAGTGGCAATTGCTGCAAATTGTTGCATGCAACGTAACGCGCTGCACGAGCAAGCGGTTATTGAAGCTTGTCGTATTGAAGTGGCATTACTGCGCCGGTTGCGGGGGGTGAGAGGGTTCACTGCTACGGAGTTGATGCGCCCAACATGCGTAGATCTGTGCAGTTGCGACCATGCATTGTTTGACAATAATTACCGCGGCCCCTTGTGTTGTGTGACCCGTCGTGGGCTCCGCGACACCGTGACAGGTTCACATGCGTGCCTCAATGTTGCTCAAATGGCGACAATGGCAAAGGCGAGCACGGCGTTGACACGCGTTCGTCCGTCCGTCCGTTCGCAGGTCGACATGCGTTGACGTATGTTGACATGTGTGCCGCGCATTGAAACACCGCTGCTATTGTTACGCTGAGTTTTACGGTAATCGCGGCCGCATTACAATGTTACAACTCTTTTCACCTTTTTGTTGTAATCAATTAAAAGTTGCATCACTTTAATGCAAATCTCATCGGCCGTCTGCAACCCGCGCTACACACACAGCGCCTGCGCAAACATGTTCGAGGCATAATTGCAGCTACTCGCGCACAAAAAAGACACATTCGCCGACTTCAACACTGTATGTATGTGTGTGTGTTTGTGTGTATGTGTGCTCGCTAATGTACATACTTAATTATTATTGCTTACCAAATGGTGTTGCCGTTGTGTGCAGTTTTTCCAACCGATTTGCTGTTTTCCCATCGCAACTTTTGCATTCGCTGGATTTGTTGTAAAAACGCAGCAACAACTGCAGAAATGGTTGCAAATTATAAGTTGCATCGCATTCATTTGCGGACGAACAGGGGAGTTGGTTTGTGGCTACTATGCTACATACAGTTCAGTGTATATATACATATATGTATATATGTAAATAAATGACAAATTGTGTGTGTGTGTGTGTTTGTGTTCTTATATAATATAATATCCGACAAGTCTTTTCATCCCAGCAAAGGAAAAACTGGAATGTGATGACAATGAACACTACAAACATATACATATGTACAAACATATTTATATTCCATATGTATTTATTCCGTTGCCTTCGTAAACTAAGCAAAGTATATTAAAAAATAAAAAAAACTTGCATGAATTAATATACCTAAATATATATATATATATATAATATATATGTATATATATGAACATATGTACATTCGCACATTTGCTGATAAAATGCAAATTTAGAGAATTCTATACATATACTTTCATATATACATACATACATATTTACATATGTACGTACATAAGAAACCGAAGGAGCTCAGCCGAAGGACGACCGTTTTAGAAAGAAAATATCTTCTTAGTTACTACTCCGACCTGCCCTACCCCTTCACCCCTACAGCTGCCGCCGAATTGTAATTCTTTGGCAAGTAGGGCTGCTGTGTGAGCCCCACTAATAAGCTCAGCTTCGGCATCGCAGATTCTTTACTTTTGACTGGTTCATGGAGTTAAGATTGAATTTTCTTTTAATTGAATTGAATTAAATCCATCTTTTATGATCTGAAAATACCTCTATATATGTACATACAAACCACTTTGTGTGTTAGTTTGACAATTTATTATTTCATTGGCATACATTTGATTTAACTATGGAATGTAAAAAAAAATTTTTTACAAAGTTTTTATTTGCATATTGGAGGCATTAATCCGTTTGTATACGTACGAACATCTAACGTCACATTGTACATACAAACATTTATCTATGTACATAAATGTTAGATATACATATCTACATACATATATACTCCATAGTCAAGTCGCGCTAAGCTCAACGGCATCCAACCGAGCTGCACAATCGACATGACAAAAATTGTACTTGTTGTTGTGGTTGTGGCTATAATTTTTATTTAGTACGAATTAGTTTATGTTAGTCTCGGCGATGTTTTTAACTGACAATACGACTGTCAATCATTAAAGTTCTAAGCACAGTGACATTTACATTAATTGCATTTAATTGATGCAAATATTTGCATACATATGTACATAAACCGGTTGCATTTGCTCATAAGTGCATATATATGATACAAATATATTTATGTACACATATTCCTGTGTGACATTATGAACGGAAATAGCAGCCGGGCAGGTGTGTAATAAGCACTTGGAGCTGAAGTAAAGTGTTGTGGAGCCCACACACATACCTGCACGGGCATGTACATACATATGAGACTGTGTGTGTGTATATATCAGACTGTGATTACAGTGCAATCAATCAAATAATAAATAATTATTGAAGAAATTAAAAATGTAGGAGGAAAAAACAAAGAATAGAATAAATAAAAAGCAGAAAAACACGTTTCGATAATTGCGCAGTGTCACCAAACATAAGTGACATCACAAGCATGCGAGTACTTACTAGCAGACACCGCTCACTCGCTCACTCGCTAATAGCGGCTGAGTTTTATAGTCTGAGATTAGTCGCTTTTTCGCTTCTCAAAGCCATCCAGTCTTCATCATGCGAATTTTCAACAACCTGTCCCCGGCTGCCGAGTGGTTAGCATTGCGTACTGGTATTCGGAAGGCCCGGGTTCAGATCCTGGCACGACCAACATTCAAAAGTTATAGAAAATTAATTTAAATTAAAAATTAAGTTAAATTTTAAAAAGGGAATGTCAACCGCTCCGAGTATATTTCTGACATGACATAAAAACTCCTCATGAAAAACCATCAACCGTTCGGAGGTCGCTTAGTATAAGCTGTAGGTTCCTCCAAGTTATCAAGACGCAAAACCACAAATAAGAGGAGGAGCTTGGCCGAAAATCGTTTCTGCGGTTACAAAGCGCCAATTATAAATATGTATATATGTATCTTAATGTATAATAAAAATGAAGGTTTGTTTGTTATTGACGCACAGGCTAGAGAGCGGCTGGACCAATCTTGATGAAATTTTTATAGGTTGTTCGTTGTGGATATGGGAATGTTTAGAAATAAAAAAAATTACTTTTCCTGTCATTCAAAAGTCGAAAAATTGGAAAGTTCCAAAAGTAACTTTTTCCCTTACAAATTTGTTGTTTAAATTATTATGTTTTTTTTTTTTTTTTTCAAATCTATTAGAAATAGAAAGCAATATTTATAGTTGATTTCGCTTAGGAATGGTAGTGTTTTCAGCAAGATTTATATCAGAGTAACAGGGATTTCGATATTGCCTTACTGTTATCAGAATTTTTGTAATAAACAATCAAATTAGCAAATTAAAATATCAGTGCGTTGGCTCAACGTTAACGTGTTTTGTTTTCAAAAGAGGTGGGATGTTCATATAACTATTTCTAAAGCAAATTTTACTTGCTTATTTCCTATGGCATCACATATTGGCATCTCGAAGTACTTTTTAACCTTAACATCAGATCATGATCGCTTGGCAGGAATACTCGTACGCATGTAAATACATATTTAATTTATGCATCTTGGAAAGGAAAATATTTGTTTTTTTTTTAATCTCTTGAAAAGGCCCAGATTCAGAGACCTCAAACACAACGTTATATGCATGTTTACAAATGTACGTATGTATGTATATCATTGACTGCCAAACATAAGAAATATATTTTTCATCGGGCGACACCCGTTCGTTAATGAACGGCTTGAGACAAATCGCTTCGGCGTGAATTGAACGCTGCAAATAAGCGGAATTACGCACTAATGGCGGTGTATTATTTATAGAAAAAAAGCTGAATAATAGAAGCAATACAAGTACGAGTAGTATACACATTCACTTAAACCCATTGATCTTGAAAACATACAGATACGTTGCGCAGCTGTAATTGCAATAATGACAAGCTGAAACCTGAATAATTTGTCCGACATTGATCCAATTGAGCGACGATCAGCGAATCAATGTGTGAGTCTTGAGCAATGTGTATGTACATATGTTTCTTGTCTTCATGTGAAATAAATATCTGCTTAGAAATATTTGCGTCCCTATATACATACATACAAACATATACATACATATTATCGAATATTGCATTGTCATTGAGCGGCTGTATCTATATACATACATACATAAAAATATTATTTTTCTAACGACTGTCAATGACGCTTTGGCTCAACGAAAAGGCTCTACATTACATACTCGTTTAGTATACGATCCTGCATTATTTTGTGCGTATGTAGTTGTGTGTTGCGCGTCTACCCTCGATCGAAATTGAAAATGCATTTTATAATTACATAACCTTCAAAAATTCAATACAATAAAGTCTTTGGGAAATTGTAGAAAAAAAATGCAATAATAATCCTCAGCTATGAGTCGCACACCATGCAGTATGTATGTCTGTATGTACATAACAATATTGCACGCACATCTGCCAATGTTGTTTCTAATCCACAAGGCGACACCATTTTCGTTTTCCTGTTTCGATTCCTCCCTCCTCTTGTATTTTTTTTTGCTTTGGTACAACAACAACATTTGGTTTCGAGTGTCATCCGGCTTGTCTGACATTTGTCTAGAGCGTCTGTTGGTTCGTTTGTATTTGTCTCGCATACGTCCTTCGCCCTGCAGCCGAAACGAATCTGCACAAATCAACAAATGGTCGAGCCATGTGTGTTGGCTGTGAGAAGAGGATGGCCGCGGAAGCGTTAAGTACTCCCAGCTATTGTGTACCTATAAGTATCTGCGTCTATTGTGCGGTATGTATTCGCTTATTTGTATGAAGCCGTATCAATTCAGATGTAAATACACATACATAAATAGGTACATAATTGTAAATATCACTCTTGTAAATATTATGAGCAACCCCCACATAAAGCGACACATAAAGCGACAGCCAAGATACTGCAGCAATAACAACACTCTTGAATTGAAATAAAAAAGGAACTATATACACGTGCGTACATATGTACATATTGCCAACCATTGTGCTGCCTTAAGTATCTCGTTATTATCCCTGTGATCCTTCGCAACAACCGCTGGTAACAATAACACTGGCGAAGAACTCAAAATGTTCTCAGTGCCAACCACAGTCAGGCACAGGCACAGGCACAGCCACTTTCACATAGTCGTGACATGCTCAGGTAGCGAATCTCGAATCAAATTGGAATTGTCGTAAGCAACGAAGGACGCAATACAAACACGCATTTTTGATGTGCTGCGAATTTTCTGCCGAGCTTTAGGGGAAGGGAACATGCATATACAGTTCTGGAAATGTTTTTTTTTTTTTAATTTCTGATTCCCGCCTCTTGCTTTGAGGACTTGAAATGAATAGGACGTCATTGTCAATATCCGCCGGCTGTCTGTGACACAACGGTGTTGCATGAAAGGCCTTTGTGTGATCGTAGATATCTAAATAAAGAGATTATTGCGTACTTATATACAATGTTTTCTTATATTTATACAACTCATACGCATATACATATACAACATATGTAGTTGCATTCACATGGAAATCTATATATGTACATACAAATGTAACATATGACTTACAAAATTTACAATATATTCTTGTATTTTCTTTTTTTTGGTTCCATAATGTCTTCCTTTTGGATCTATTCAATTTAATTTTTTGTTTTTGTCCATTGTCCCTTCGCTCCTTCGTGCTCATCCAACGGGGCGGTATGCGGATATATTCTTGCACGAAGAATTGTTTGTCTACCAACCCTCCATTCTGTGCTTCTATAGCTGTTGTTGTACTACTCGTCATGCTACATCTGTTGTTGTCCCCACTGTGTCTCTTCGCCGCCATGTCATTGGTTCGTTGACATTTTCCCGGTAACAGCAATATGGTGACAGAGTTCTCAGTTGACATTGTTGACAGTTGTTGTGCTACGCCCTCTGATTGGTGCCGGTGCCAACGACCAATGACGAGGCTTCGGTGTGCTCGCGGCGCTCTGTGTGCGTAAGTGAATGAGTGAGTGTCACACAAATTATAAAAGAAATTGATTGAATTGAAAGAATTATGTAAATACATATATACGTACAAATGTATAAGAATACTTTTTGCTTTCAACGTTGAATTACGAGTATGTATGTAGTTACAAATTTATATAAGTACGCATGTACATATACACAGATACATATGTATGTATATGTTCATAAATACATTCGTATGTATGTATATAGAGAAACATGCCCATATATACATATATATGCACATATAGCGAACATTCGTTGCGCCATTTGAGTTGAGCCAGCAAAATGACATGGAGCGGATCGGTGCACAGTTATGATGAGGAGTGCGATATCTTGTTGCTTGTTAATGCAAAATGACCATAAATAAGCTCAGCTCCTCGGCTGCAGCGGCAAATTGCCAGGGAAAAATAGTTTCATGTTGAATTGTGCAAAACTCGACGCGTCATCATCGCGTGTTGCAGCTGCATTGCTGCTGTCCACCGGCCGCTTATCTGCTGCTGCACCGCTCCACCGCTCGACTGCTGCAGATGCACTTGCCAGCTAAACTTTTTGCACATAAACACCAGTAACAACAACAGCACTGGCGTAAATAAGTTGTTGGAGCTTTTGCCAGCAAACTGTTGAATCGGAATCAGTTTCGCCGGTGCGACTCTATTAAATCAAATCTGCTTGTGGAGCGTTTTGTGCTTTCTGTTCCACAGCGGCGCCGAATAACTGGTCATTGCAGCAGCAGCGAGAAGAGATACTTCGTCAGCTGCTGCGGCTATTAGCTGATGTATATATGCATATGTACATTTATGTACATATGTATGATATGTACATATGTATGTATGCATTGCACATGTGCCACATGGGCAGTTGGCGAGTTCGCTCGTGTCGTGTACGCATTTCTAATTATCAGCGTTTCTCTTGTGCATTTGAGCGTCATAACTGGTCACAACAACAACAACACTACATCCAACAATAACAGAATAACTTGGTACCTGATTACGAGTTCATACGCAGTGTTATTATGTACATACATACTCGTATAAATGTAGTTATGCTTGTAAGTAATAGTGAGCTCGACATGTGTGAAATGAGCTCATCTTAAATTCTAATAATTTTTCTAAGAAAGTTCCAACCATTGTTACCCTCATTGTAATATTTTCTTTTTCTTTTTAATTTTATTTACTTCTTTTTCGCTTATTAACTTTGTGGTAATTGTGGAGAATGTTATATATTGTTTCGTCGTTATTGTTGTTGTTGTTGTTGTTTAAATTATGGTAACATATAGTACGTGAAGCGACATTACGCTACCCGGTTGTGAGTGGCAAGTCGAGTGACGGCGAGTTAGTTGGCGCAACTCGAACGGGGCAATGACCATTGGCTGCCCAATAACCAAGCCGCTAGACGGCCATTCGGGGCTGGGCGGACGGGAGGAGTTCGTGTGGTCGAATAAATGAATGTGCGCACGCGCGCAAGCGTTCATTACGGTTTCTCGTTGCTAATAACTATGAGCTGTGAGCACTGACTGCCCTGTATCTGTTGTACTGCGATATGCGCATATTTTTAAAATACATACATATATACACATGAATGTCTCCTACATACTAAATATACATATCTTATATACATACATACATATGTATTTACATGTATATTTTTGTACATACATACGTACTTGTGGCCGGTATTTCTGCTGCTGTTGGTTGGAGGGGTGCCCTACTCCTGTTAGCTGTGCGGCAATGCGCAACCACCGACCAGGTGGATACCACGACCACAAGCAGCGCTGGCGTGGCTGAGGAATGAAGAGCAGAAATTAAATCATACCGTACTTAGAGAGTGACTGACTTGAGCTTTTGCTAAGATATTCACTAAAACAGATGCACTGTTTGCGCATTAGGGTGGTATAATTTACGAAAATGCAGAATTTCGTTTTCTACATGAATTGGGTTGATGCTTTTTCATTAATATGCATTTGGCGTCTGTAAACAAAAAAAAAATATAAAAATTATTTACCGTTTCAGTTAAATAAAGGTGAATTAATGCTTTTTCTTATCTTCAGTTTATTTTTTTTTTCTTCGCAAATTGCTATTGGAAATAAAAACCCTTAAGAAGATTAATCAGTTTAATCCGATAATTTTTGAACTTCTTCAATCGACTACTGTATACATTTGCATGCTGCTGAAATACTTTTGAAATTATTTCCTAATTAAAAACTGTTGGCGCACCCTAATGTGTTCACATATGTAGTTATGTTATGTACGTTTTTAATCAATGGTGGTCTTATGCTTCTGTGGCATGCCATTCGATGGTGTACTTGGTGTTTATAAGGCGGTAATGTGCAGATCTAGCGGATCTTTTTTTGGGGCAGTCATTGCGCATAGGAATATGCAATTAAGACTAGAAAAAAACAAAAACAAAAAAGCGCTTAACTAACTAAATAAGTACAATCTACATTTGTACACATATGTATGTATATACAATATATCATGTTCAAATGTATGTAAGTAACTAAGTGCAGTTACAGTTTTCGGCCGGTCCACTTGTTGCCTGCTTTGGTCGTTGCTGTTACCATATGGTGTTGTTGCTTATGACTACGTACGAGTTTGAGGTGACGTGGTGTTGGCGACGGTAATGGTGCAGCTGGTAGCGATCGTCCTCACTGAACACGCGCATAAAATTTTGCCTTAATTAAGCGCTACAAAAAGCAGCAACTGCAAAGAAGAAGAATAAGCACATACACGATACTTATCTACGTACTTAGATACTAACGTTTTTTATATGTTTTTTATGGTAATGACAGTCTATTTTAAAGCACAGGTGCCACTTTTCTTTTTGATTCAATTAAAAAATAATAATAATAAATGAAAGAAAGAAAAAAAACTTGGAGAAAATCGCTCAATATGGCATTTTTCAGAAGTTGCTAAGGTGAGTTTTTTATTTTATGCTAAAGTTGTATATTACTAGGTGGGAAAGTGAGTATTAAAATTATGATTTAACTCCTGATGCACAAATTTTAATGAACGACACTGTGAGTCCTGCTTGACCTACACTAAGAAAAATATTTTTTTTTTCTGAATTCAAGTTTGAAAGGACAGGAGCAAACTTTATGAGCTAAAAATTAAAATAAGAGTGTTTTTCAACATCTAGAATTAGAGTTCCAAAATCAAAAAATAATTTTCCGCTTGATGTTTTTTTTTTTAAATTTCTTTTCAATCTCTGTTGCATACATTGTCACAAAAAGGTGAGACATTCTTTCCGCTGTGTTGTCTAAAGCGGCTTTGTTGCCCACTGCCAGAAACGTGTAACTCTCGAGAAATATACAGTGTTACGACAATGGTTGAAATTTCCGAAGAAATACATATGTTCAATAGAAACGTAAAAGCACTTCGGTTTACTTTGGGAATGCTGTAAGTAAACACCGGACCCAGTAGTGACTTGCTCCATTCCGTTCCTGAAATCTTAATATTAAAGATTCACCTCGTTTGGGTCGGTCAGTCACTCGAACTGTCAATGAAATTCAGCAGGGTGGAGCGAGACCGGCACCAAGTTGTCAGAAAGCAGCGAAGGCTCCTTAAAGAAATTCGATCTTTGCACGCCATAGGAATTTACGCAAAAAAATTTTGTGATGGGACTCTAAGGAAAATGCCGAACAGTATACATATACTGATCTGTAGGTTTTGGTGCGGTTTCTGTAAAACACTTCTTATGGTTAAAGATTGGACAATTGGAGAGCCGCAGAAAGTCATTTGACCAAGTTTTTCGCCGATAAACCACGAAAGCTCTACACTGACGGAATTATGAAAATTTCCGAAGAATTGCAAAGCGTCATAATAAAAAATGCTCAATATGCATTAGTATCTGGCTTCGAGACCTGGTCCGGGCAACATCCAAAAATATATATAAAAATTAACTTACACATATAAAATATTTTATTTTTTTAATGGAGATCGACCCCAGGCAAGACATTACCAACCGCCGAGTATATTTCTGATAGAGTTAGATTTCAATAGCCACTTCAGAGCGAGGATACCGCTACACGGGAATGGAAGAAATGTTTTGTGGAGCAATTCACACCGATGGAGATGAAGAACTCAAGTTTTCTCTTTCTGTTCTTCTATCAAATTCTGCTAGTATCTTTTAAGTACTCTGTAGAGCTCTTATGAACAACAACGGGAGAAGAAAGAAGGCAAAAATGTAGCCAGGCATCATCAACAATTGTATGTAGGCTTTAAGTTCGTTGACAGGTCAAATCGCCATGTCCAAAATAGGTGTTCTCGGCCATAGCAATATTTAGAAATATGTATCCACTGGTATGACAGCGAAGCATGTTCGGACAAAATATGATAGGTCGTAAACAAAGAACCTATTAAACGGGTCTAGCCACAGTATATTTCGACTTATAGCTAAGATACAGGAGCACTGCCCTTGGGAGAGAGTGCTGCAAAATGGATCTGCCGATAATAGCCGTTGTCACAGCTGCGAACAAGGAGAGAGTAAAACAACAACTAATCCTGTCTATATAATTTTCAGTCAATTAACGCCTTAAAGTCTACAGGATTCCAACACAACACACTAACCCAGCTGTTAAGAAAATAGCGGCTAAATTAGCGCAGTTAATAATTGTTGGCTAATAATGAATTGAATAATTCAACAACAGATTATATGGCTGATGTTGGCGCAGTGGTAGATCACTCGCCTGTTAAGTCAGGATCCGTTGGTTCGATCCCTGCCATAAGAAGTCTGATGAGGAGATGTGGTGATCTCCGAAACAGCTGTCACTTCTGCCATTTTTCTTTGTTGTATAACAAATATTCAATTCATACAAAGAAAAAGTTTACTTAACAAAATAAATAATTACCATTTTCTCTGTGATTGCCGAGCTCTTCCACAAATTCCCCATAGAGCACTGGGAATCGACCAGGTACCAAACCTTGAATGGCAGAACGGATGTTCGGAGTTTCATTGAGAGCAGCAAATCATTCGATTTCGATTCTTACGCTCTTACCCACCAACCT